TATTACTCTCATTACCTAAAATTTATTATTTTAATTTATCATTTTTATGAAAATCCTTATCTAATTAATATTTTTTAATAAAATTTTATGTTTTGATAAATATAATTTTTTTTGCATATTTGAATTTTAGAATAAAATTTAAAAATATCTTTTTTTATATAAATAAATTGATATAATAAAAAATATATTTTTAGAATTTTTAAATGATAGATACTTATATATACATATATAATTATTTTAATTTAAAAAGTTAAAAGTATATTTCAGATAATTTGTCTTAGTCTAGGTAAAGAAGCATAAAAAAACTCTTGAATTATCGATTTTATTAAAAATTAATTATACATCTTTACACATAATACCAACTATTTATTATAAATATTTTTTTAAAAAAAATTACAGAATCAATTTATTTCAAATAAAATAATTAAAATATTTTTTTTAAAAAAACCATCCAATTATTCAAATACGAGTTTTTTATGCTAATATTGTTGATTATTTTATAAATAAATATATATAGATCAAATGCATATAATTTCAAAAAATAATCACATCATCAACATTAAATAATAGTAAAAATTTATTTTTTTATTAATTAATTTTTATATAAGTCTATACATTAATTGTAATTTTATTTTCTAAATACATTTTTATGAAAAATATATTTCTAAAATATTTTTTATTCTTAATTAATATTTTAATTTAAATTATTATTTTAGAATTTATCCATAAAGAAGAAAAAATCATATGTTTTTAAGCTAACAATTTACGAAAGATATAAAAAATATAATTAAATAAAAAAATTATAAAATTTTGTAATGATTTTGTCCTATTTGACCTACATAAGCATAGTGAGTATAATCGGCTAGTATATTCTATATTCCAATTTGCACTTGATGGTTTCATAAATTAAGTGGGATTACCCCAAAATAATCTCTTTTTGGTAACCTCTAAGTGATTCAAGTCATCGAACTTATAATTAAGCGTGCATGGTTGTTAGGAGCTGTAGTTTTCTTTTCATAAATTCTTGGGTTAACACGAAACGATCAAAGATTCAACCTTAAATAGTCAAAGGGACTGTTCAATTTGGCATGGGATCACTGTCCCTTTATTTGGGTGTGTGCGTGTTTTTGAAAAGCTATAGCCCATTAGCCTGTACCAACAATTCTTTAAATTTACTTCTATTAACATGTGTAAGCATAATGGCGGAAGTCGGAAGGTGTATTTCCAGGGAATGATCCAGTAAAGTCTAGTCAACACCCATCCCCATCATTTGTTATAGGACCAGCACCATGGTGGCAGACGTCATGGAAATACAATCATTCTCCATTCTGCAAATTGTGAAGGGCAATTGCTTTTGGAATTTGACTTTTGCACTGCCCTTTTCCAAATTAATCCATCTATCTTTAAAAATCCATGGTGGTGATCATTCCATTTGGCCAGAGCTATTGATCGTTGGACCTACCAACAATTCTAAGAGCAACCTTTAGTGTAATAAAGAATTTTTAACATCAAACGAGTCCATTGATAAAAAAAAAAAAGGGACCTTTTTGTTTCATAATTAGTTCATACAGGAAATCAATGACAATGCAATTAGTTGGTCCAATATGAAGTGCAAGGTCCACTTAAAATTATGATCTCAAAGGTATCTATAAAAATAATTTATATGAAGAAGAATCTATTTAACAGGTTAATGCTTTTGTACATCTTTTTTTGTTTTGTTTGTTTTTTAATATCCCTACATTATTGTTTGTCTTAATATCAATCATGTACATCATATTTTTGCCATGACATTCTTCTATCGGTCGTTAAAAATTGACATATGTCATGTTCCTACAATATGAATTTAGTAATTAATTAATTAAAATTTTACTTTGATTCCTTCATTTTGTTTTTCTTACAAACAAGTTTATAATATTTTATAATAAATATAATTTATTGCCTGACTTATTTTGTTTTTCAATTAAGTTCATATATGTCAAATTGTAAACTTGATCAAAATTAATCACGCAATTTAAATGGATTGATGGACAAGGTAAGAGATAAGTAGACTTAAATAGGCATATCAATTTAAAAATAAAATTTTTATTTTATATAATATTATATATCTATTGGGATAATTTTTTTTTGTTTTCTTTCTTAAAAAAATTATTTTCCTGATTTTAACCTAAAAATATAGGTAAAAGAAAATTTCATGTTGTAAGAGCATGACACTTTTAACGGTGTTACTATCACCAAGTGACGAACGGATGTAATAATGTCGAAAAGGTAACATGCATGATTGATATTAAGACAAAAAATATCAGATGGATCTTTTAAATAAAATAAAATAAAATAAATAGAACAAAACCATTAACCCATTATTTAATATTTTCTTTACTGTAACTCTCTTTCACGTTTTAAGTTTAGGTATAACATTAGTTTTTTTGCTCGCTCTATACTATGAATTAGATAAAATATATAAAATTATTCGGAGAAATTATTTTAGTTTAATAGTCTATTTTATGATGTGAATCTATAAAAATATATGAAATCAAAAATAAAAAAATTATTTATAATTTTTTAATCAAAAATTTTATATTTAACTATTTCTTATTTGTATTTTTCATAATTTTTTCTTTAGAAAAATGATTTATCCTTACTAATATATGGATTATTAACTAAAAAGAAAATTAAATAATTTTTTTAAAAAGCTTCAATGTGTCATAAGATTATGTCAAAAAACATAAATAACAATTATTAAAAGCTTATATAGAATCGAAAAAATAATATTTTTTATTTAATGTCGATGAGAATATTAATTTTTGAAAAAATATGAATTTAATTTTTATATATTTATTTACAAAAGAATGAATAATATTAAAACAAAAAACTATATTAATTTGAATAATTGAGTGGTTAAGCCAAAACATTATTTTAATTATTTAATTCAAAAATAAATAAATAAATAGTAAATGCTTAGTGTAGAAAAATAATATTATTATAATATGATCATAAAATTAATAACATATGACTCGTATTAAAAAAAATGACAAATTAAAGTAGTAAATTTTAAATAATAAAAATAATTAAAAGAAAATATAAAAACAAAATGAGATTAAATCATAATATAATTAAAGTTTGAAGTTGAAAATAAAAATATAAAAAAAATTGAGAACCAAAGTGCTAAAAAATGATATGAATAATGAAATGAATAGTGATTTATGAGTGTATAAATAATGATTCGTGAGTGTGTGAATAATTTTTTAAATAGTGAAAATGAATAGTAAAACTATGTTTTACTTGAGGTTTTTTAGCAATGCCAACTCGCACGAGTAATTTAAATTTTTTTGTTATTTGGAAAAGAACTACTATAATATTTTGAAACCAATTTATACCGAATGACCAAAAAAATCATATTATACATGGATGTGATTAGAGAAACTAAAAGGTTGTTTGATATTATTTTCGTTTGCTATTATTGTTTCAAAAAAAAAAAAAATTGAAAACAAGATATAAAGATTTATTTGTTTTTGTTTTTGTTTTTTGTTTTCAATAAAATAAACATTGGCAACAAGTTTAAAATTTTGAAAATTAAAAAAATGGTTTTCAAAAGTGTTTTTTTCCACAATCATCCAATGATGCCGGAGTTAGAAACATAAGAAAATTGATGTAGATCATGCTTAAGCTAGACTCGAGATGTACAACAATGACTTGACCTCGAGGGTTAATAAGTCTTGAGATGCATGATCAGAGTCATGCCGAAGTCGAGTTCGAATACCATGTATGATTAAGCGTGATGGGTCGGGGTTATGTTCTGGGTTTGGGACACCTAAGGATCTAGTTGGAACCTGGTTTGGGGAGCTTAAGAATCAGACTAAGAATGGGTCCGAATAGCTTAGGGCTCAGGTCAAGATCGAGGCGTCTAGGGATTAGACTGGAAAAAGGGTCTAAAAAGCCTGAGGATGGGGTCGAGGCTGGGGGCAGAACAAGATTCTAGGAGTTAGGCCATCAGACTAGGACTGGATTTAGATCGGAATCGGGTTCAAGGCTCTAAGAGATATGGTCGAGACTAGTTCCAGGATCATATTTGAGGTGTTTAGGGATCAAGCTGCTAACGGGTCACATGAGCTGGAGACCTAGCAATGAATGGGTCTGGGCTTAGGGTGCTTGGGAGAGACCGATACCTAATCAAGAATGCTCAAGGTTCAAGCTGAGAACGAGTCTTGAGGCAATTGAAAATCTGGTTAGGATCGAGTTCGAGGTGCTCGGGGGATCATGAAAGGATGAGGGGCTCAAGGTTCGAGCCAGAACCATAGCGCTTGGGGTTTGGATTGAGAACAAGTCCAAAGTAACAGAGGATTAAGCTAGGACTAGGTAAGGGATATGACCATACCAGAGTGTCGGTCCCAATAACTCAAATATTTAATCGAGACTAAGTGCATTTATTGAAGAAAAAAATTCTAGCCAATCAAATAAGTTATTAATTAAAAAAATACAAATAAAAACCTAAAAAACTAAAAATAAAAATAAAAACAGAAAACGAGAGTGATACCAAAAAAAGAAAAAAAAAAAACCCAATTCATTCATTTTTTCGAAACACTCCAAACAAATTTATACACATGAATTCTACTAAAGTTATTCAACTAAGTCTATCAAAAGATTTATACCAAATTATCTGTTATTTTGGGTTTAAGAATTCAAAACATATCTAATAAGTATTTATAAAACTTAATTTAAATAAGAACACCAAATATGTTTTCTTGAGAAAATCATCAACAAAAGATAACGAACATAATATCTACACCTTATGTCATCCATGGAACATGCATTTTACATAGGAAATGCAATAAAAGGGGCATCGCGTTTTTTTTTTTTACAAGAAAAGAGTCTTGGTAATTTTAAATGAATATAGGTAAAATTTCCTCTTAATTGGGTTGCCATTCCTGGCAATTTTTCTAAATTTCCTCAATCGTCTATATGAAATTTGGACATTTCTATTATAGAGAAAAAAATAATTGTTTTTAATCTTTGCTGTTTCGATTCGCATTGATCTCATCAAGAACTACTATAAGAGCTACTATGAAAGCATAATCAACGTTAGGATACACAGTCACCTCAAAATTATCTTTATCCAAAACAGCAGTTGTAAGAGTGTGTTTTCTATGCATCTGCATATATGCACACATAAAAAGAAAAATATTAGTATAATAAGCTATTATTAAGATAATTTTCTTGATTAAAATAACAATATCTATATATATCTATATATATATATATATATATATATAATCACTTTGTATTTGCAATTAATAAAGGGTTGAGCTCATGAGTGCCCAAAGAATCAAACTTAGAATTCGATTTTGACAAGTGACCGTGCTACAATTTATGATGGTTAATATATATATATATATATATATAATCACAAGTCTTTGTATTTGCAATTAATAAAGGGTTGAGCTCATGAGTGCCCAAAGAATCAAACTTAGAATTCGATTTTGACAAGTGACCGTGCTACAATTTATGATGGTTAATTACAGATTTCTATTTCTATAGAATTATACGTCTGAAGTTAAATGATATAATGAAAAATTTCCCAAACTTATAGGACAAAATTTTACTTTTTTAAAATTTGGTTGAGGATGCCATGACAGCCTTAACCATAGACATGATTCTATATCCGCAAAAGACAAGTAGAAATCATTAACTATGCTCGTGAACTTAAAATGGGTATTGGAAAATAAAAAAGTGTGTATTCAGTATTCTCATATTTTAGAAATAGGTTTAGATAATGAGTGTTTGGATTTGTTTAAATATGGATAATTATACTATAAGTATATGGATTTTAAACTTTTTTTCTCAATTGAATATATGGATTTTATTTTTTTTAATTCTAGTACAATAATTTTTTTAAAAAAACTATCAATCAAGTATTTTTTATTCATTTTTTTTATCAATTATTCTATTGTTTGATAAAGTATCATTTGTTCTAGACTATTAAATTATGGTTTTACTCTTTTATTCTTGGAGAAAACTTTATTTTCTAAATTATTTTATCTTTTTTTTATTTGTTTATATAGTAAATACTCAAATTATACTTATATAAAAACAATATAAGAAGACAAAATAATATGAAAAGAAAAATTCCTTCTAAGAATAAAAGGTCAAAGGAAAAGAGAATGGAGCTAATCAAGCAAACTTAAATAAAAGGTAGTTATATATATTTTGTGTTGCATTGTATTGGTAACAAAAGAGTCCCTCTAGTTTGATGTTTGATAGTTGAAAATTTGGATTTTCTTTTGGAGGGGAATGAGATGGAACTTCCATAAAAGCAAGCATATTGTAAAAATTGAGATAAGAGTAGTTTGGTGATCTCATGAAGGATATTTTGGGTTTTTCAAATAATTTGTTGTGCATATAGCAAAACCTAGCGTGCTAATAAGAAAAGCCTAAAATGTATGACCATCTAACTTACTTGTGCAATCATGGCTTTGGAATCTCCAAGATATACAGAGCAGGAACTCTCGCGCCAGCCTCCTTTGACCTTGCAATCAGGGACTTTTGTTGTGTTATTAGCCAAGAATATGTCTAACTCAGTTTTGAATTGGAATAGCTTTGATTTCTTGGCTGTAAAAAGTATGTCTTTCTTCTCGTTGCTTTCTCCTCTGAAGACTTTCCACCTATGATGCATGGTCATTAGCTGGAAAAAAAATGATAAACAAATAAAAAATGATTAAAAAAATTCAGAAAACATAAAAATTAATTAACTAAATTAAAAATATAAAAATGGGAATGACTAATTGACACAAATAGAGGATAAATTTTATTTTTGTATTTTTTTATAACTAAATTTCATTATCAGTAAAGAAACATCATAGACTACTTAACGAATGCAATAACAATACATAGAGCCATATCCTAGCACAAATTTTACCAACAGAAACCTATATTTTTGCAAAGGAAAAAGACGACTTTTGGAGAGAGAAAAAGGTCCTGCAAATAGGTACTCCTGATTACTTTTTAAGAGATTAACATTGGTAACTAATATCCTCAAATATTTTTTAAAAAATGAAGAATTAAACATTAATTAACTACAAATAATTATGATTAATTATCTTGTTAGCTTTTTTCAATCAAGTAAATGAATTTTATTTTATTTTTTCATTTGAATATATCAATTTTTTTAAAACTATTAGTTAAGTACTTCCGTCAATTTATCCGCTAGCTTACGACACATTTGTTTTCTTTAAAATACCAAATTATAATTTTATCATTTTTTTTATTGGAGGAAACTTTCTCTCGGAATACTCACAAGCAATGAATTTTTTTCATTAAAAAATCTCATGTTTGTATTTTAATTCAATTTCACGCCTAAACTCAATCGAGTTTAATTCAGAATGGAATTTATAACTAAAAAATAATGATTTTGTTAATTCTTTATCAAATTTTAAAATGATAAAATAAGTTGAAAGAAATTATGACACATTTGTTGTTTTTAGAATACCAAATTATAATTTTATCATTTTTTTTTTGTTGGAGGAAACTTTCTCTCGGAATACTCACAAGTAATGAATTTTTTTATTAAAAAATCTCACGTTTGTATTTTAATTCAATTTCACGCCTAAACTCAATTGAGTTTAGTTCGGAATGGAATTTATAACTAAAATATAATGGTTTTGTTAATCCTTTATCAAATTTTAAAATGATAAAATAAGTCCAAAAAATTTCCTTCTAACAAAAAGAAGACAAATTTATAAGTTGGTAATCTAAAGGCAACAAAAACTTCAATAAGTAACGAAAAAATTGAAAGACATAGTTGATTGATAGTTTTAAGAAAAAATTAATTTATTCAATTAAAAAAATTAAACATGATTTACTCAATTGAGAAAAAGAAGAAGAAGAAGAGAGATTAAAATTAAAATTTAATATTATAAGGGTAAAAAACACCATTATTTAACGAAGAAATTGAAGAATTTATTTGATTAATAGTTTTTTTTTAAATTGATGTACTAAAAAAAATAAAAAATAAAATTCATCTCGCTCAATTGAAAAAAATAAATAAAAGTGGATGTATTATATAGTGTATTGATTCCCAATATAACATACCTTCGTTAGTGCTGGCTCAAGGCATAGGTCATTAATGCTTATGCCTAGGGCCCCCAATTAAAATTTTACCCTAAACCTACACCCGTGAAGAATGAGATAAATTAAAAGATGTAGTCTCTATCTAAGTATGAGACATCATTCTTCTCTTTATTAACGAGTCATAGGTACTAGAGTTCCTGCATTGAAAGACTCTCATTGTTCGGAGATATTATTATTTCAACGTTAAAAATTCTACATTTTCTAGATGTCTTTTCAGTTACCTTCTACCTATAAAAGCTTTCAATTTTTATTTTAGTGAGAAACTTTTACTTACAGAAAAGTTTCAAAAAATTATTTATGAGTGAAACAATTTTTAGATCTCCAAATTTTGTTATTATATTCCTTTATTTCGCTAAACAATCGAGGATCTCTTATAAAACCTTTTCTAATTAGCTTGATAGAAGAATCGAAGGTAATTTTTTAATTTATGCAAATAAAATTATGTATATAAATCATATAATATTTTATTTTTTCTCAATTTTTTTTATTTTCTCAGGTTATTCTCTCCAGGTTTACTTGATTAGGTGTGGTAAGCAAATATAATCGAGTGTCAAAGTTTCTTTCTCTTTTTATAATTATATTTTAATTTTATTATTTGAATAAAATGTCTATTAGAAAGTATGAATATGGATATAAAAAATGTAAGAAAAAAGAAAGGTAGAAGAACTAATTCAATCCAAAAAATGTGCACTTGATAGATTTGTTACTAATATTAAACCCTAAATACTAGAAGAACAAGATAAAGATTTAAATGAAAATATAGTTAAAAATTATCAAGAAAAATATTATTTTGCCTAGGGTCACATATATTATAAAGCCGGCCCTACCTTTTGTCTAAAAGAGATGAGGGTGTTACCACCGCATCTTTTAGAAAACGACGATCATGGAGGCTTAAGAGTTTACTCTTGACTCGGAAAATGAGGTTGCCATTAATGTCATACACTTTAAAATCATTTTCTCCCGAACTCCATGGCTTTGAGGAAACGGCGAGTTCAACGAGGTACTTTGCCAAGAATTGTGGCCCTATTACCACCACTCGGATTCTTCACCTGGTCGGTGTGTTCTTATAGTTGGAATGGGGTTGCTTGGCACTTGTCTAGGAGCCATTATTAGTTTATCACACACAAACTTACTCAAAAGAAATAAACGAGAGAATATTAGCTATTTATATGGCCTCGTTATAAAAGTGAGTGAAGATAAGAAAAATGGGAGAAGGAATCAGACTTCTCTTTAAGAAAAGAAAAGCTGAATACAAGGCTATTTATATACGAACTTAACAAAGAAAAACTAACTTAATACAATTAATTACAGCCATAAACTAGATTAACTCGCTAACTAAGCCAGCTATACAAGGCTATTTGTATACAAACTTAATAGAGAAAAACTAGCTAACTAAATACAATTAATCAAACCATAAATTATACTAACTGCTAACTAAGTTGGCTTGGCCAATGATAAACCACCGACTACTAACTTAGAAAATCATGTACAATCGTAACTATTTTTTTTTGTTTTCTTCTGTTTATACCCCTCAAGATGAATAATAAAATTGTTAATGATGCTTATATACAAAATTAACAAAAAAATAAAAAAATAAAAAATAACTAAATACAATTAATTATAGCTATAAATTAGACTAATCGCTAACTAAGTCGATGCGACCAATCATTAACCACCATCCACCAACTAAGCTAATTATGTATGACTATAAATATATTTTTTATTTTCTTTTGTTTATACCCCTCTCAAGATGAACAAAAAAAATATTAATGATATTCATATTGCTAAAAAGCAACCTCAACTGGCTCTGGATTTAAGCTATTTGTAAAGATTCCGTAACTTGGAAATGTGTAGACAAGAACTCGGGCTTAATCACACCAACAATGACCTCTTTTCTCATAAAATGGCAATCGATCCGTATATATTTAGTCCTTTCATAAAACCCAAGGTTAATACAAATATGAATGCGAACATATTGTCACAATGCGAGCATTGCTAGTTGTGCATTTGTACATCCCAAATCATATAAAAATTATAATAACCATATTACTTCATAGGTTGTAGATGTCGTCGACCCATACTCGACTTCGTGGAACTCCTAGCCACCAAATATTGTTTCTTAGACTTTTAACTCACTAGAGAGTTTTGTAGAAAAATGTAGAACCCTTTAATTAATCTCTTTATATCTAAACTCTCTACCCAATCACCTGTCCGAATATGCTTTCAAATGCAGACCGAATCAACGAGAGAATAATAAACCTTGTCCCGAAGTACTCTTCAAGTATCTCAATGCTTTCCGGTCTACTTACATATGTCTATTTATAGGTTTATCAAGAAACTGAGATAAGACTCGTACTACATAAGCAATATCGAGTACGATAAATGTTAAGCATAATAGCTTCTCAACAATGTACCTGTATGTTGTAGAATTTGTAAGATATAAACTATCATTCCTTTACAATTTGTGATTCTAATCCATAAGTGTAGACAACGGTTTAGAACTAGTAAAACCATATTCTTCTAACAAATCCATGATTTATTTTCTTTGATAAATTGAAATGCATTTCACCGATCTTGCAACTTCAATGCCAAAAAAGTATTTCAAATTCTCTAGGTCCCTCAACTAAAACTTGGAATTCAAGAATTGCTTCAAAGTATCAATAACATCAAAAGAATCACTTGCTATGACTATGTCATCTACATAGACAAGTAAAACAAGAAAACTAATTGCCTTTCTCTACACAAACAATGAACAATCCAACTTTGATTGAGTAAATATAAATTCTAAAAGTGCATCGGTAGACTTATAGTTCTATTGTTTAGGGATTTGTTTAAAGCCATATAAATATATTTATAGTTTACATACCAAATGTGAACCAAGTGGATACTACCCTTATATTTGATAACCCAAAGATAGACTTATATACACATATTCAACCAAATTACCATTGAAAAAGGCATTACTAAAACCTAATTGTGAAAGATATCAACTATAAATGATCGCCAAGGCTAACAAAACTCTTACGAGTAGTGTGCTTGGCGTTGAATGTTTCTTGAAAGTCAAACCCTATGAATTGGGTTTTTTTTTTTTTTTCCAAGATGGTTTGGTTTGGCTAAAACAAAACAATAGCTTTAAAGGGTTTTTGGTATCACTCTTGTTTTTTGTTTTTATTTTTATTTTTATTTCTAGTTTTTCGGGTTTTTATTTGTATTTTTTAATTAAGAACTTATTTGATTGGTTAGATTTTTTTTTTCAATAAATGCACTTAGGGTGTGTTTGATAACTTATTTAAGTAGTTTAAAAAATTAAGTTGTAATATTTAATATAAAAAGTTTGTTTGATAATCTAAATAATTTCACATTTAAAATTTAAATTGAGTCAAAATTCATTTAATTAGATAAGTTAAATGAATTGAGAGGAAGAAGCTAATGATTTTTTCTCATTAAATATAGCTATGAATTTTAGTAAGAGACATTTGTAGAGAAATAATGCCCGAAATTGAATTATCCAAAACCTTTGAATCTATTAAACTAGTCACATTGTTG